AACAAGAGATAATGAAGGCCACGTCATAATACTAAAGGGACCAATTCAACAAGAGGATATAACTCTGGTAAACATATATGCAAACAATGCAGAAGCACCCAAATACATTAAAAAAAGTTCTGGAACATATCGAGAGAGATTGACAGCAATACAATCATAGTAGGGCTGCAATCACATCAAACATCTTCTGAGATCACAATGGCATAACACTAGAAATTGAAAGGGTTAAAGAGAGTAAAACAGGACAGAGAAAACTTATTGTGCTTAGCAGATACCTTGTAGAAAGCTTGCAATCTTCACCACGGCATAGTGCAGATAGCTACTGGAAATCTAGCGCCGGGAAGAGCTAAGGAGGGACCAAACCCTTACATCAGCAAAACGGCTTGCAGGCAGCAAAAGTTAATAAAAACCTTTCCCTCCCTATACTCTCTGCTGATTCCTCTGTTGGACTCAGCCAACCTGCACCCAGGTGCCAGAAATAAAAGCTTCTTTTGATAACTTATGGCCTCATGTCATAGGTTCATGACCCCGCCAACTCTGAAGCTTTTAGAAATCAAATACAATAAAAATAATAAAATAATTCAAACACTTGGAGGTTAAATAGCACATTATTAAACAATAATTGGGTTACCAGAAACGAAAGAAGAAATAAAAACAAATGACAATGAAAACATAACAACCCAAAATCTATGGGACACAGGGAAAGCAGTTCTGAGAGGGAAGTTCATAGCTTTACAGGCCTACCTCAAAAAACAAGAAAAACTGGTAATAAATTAGCTAACCCTACAACTTAAAGAATTAGAAAGAGAGCAACAAGAAAAGCCCAGAGTGAGCAGAAGGATGGAAATAATAAACATCAGAGGGGAAATAAATGACATAGAGACCAAAAACACAATACAAAAATCAATAAAACCAAGAGCTGATTCTTTGAAAGGATAAACAAGATTGATGAACCTCTAGCCAGGATCACCAAAAAACAAAAGAGAAAGGACCAAAATGAACAAAATCAGAAATGAAAGAGGAGAAATAACAACAGACCCCACAGAAATACAAAGGATTGTAAAAAAAAAACTATGAACAACTCTATTCCAAAAAACTGGACAACCTAGAGGAAATAGACTTGTTCCTAGAAAGATACAATCTTCCAAAACTCAATAAGGAAGAATCCAATAGGCTGATAACTATGAAGGAAATGGAAGCAGTCATCAAAAAGCTTCCAGCAACTTCTAGCAAACAAAAGCCCTGGGCCTGATGGATTCACAGGAGAATTTACCAAACATTTAAAGAAGACCTAAAACCTACCCAAAAAATTCAAGAGGAAGGAACACTTCCAAGCTCTTTGTATGAAGCCAGAATTACCCTAATCCCAAAACCAGATAAAGAAACTACAACGAAAGAGAATTACAGGCCAATATCCCTGATGAACACAGATGCCAAAATCCTCAACAAAATTCTACAAAATTGGATTCAGCATTACATTAGAAAGATCATACATCTTGACCAAGTGGGATT